CGGGCTGCGCGCACGGCCCCCCGGGGGGTTGCGGGGCGGGCCCCTGCGGCTCCCTGATTCCCACCCCAAAACCACGCAGGGCTCTTGCGCGCTGGGTGCTGGCGCCCTTCCCGGCTGGGGAGAGGGGAGGGAGGCGTGGGCTCCGCCGGGATGCGGGGCTGGGTGCTGCCTGCGCTGTCACCTTGCCAGGGACGCGGCCCGGCTGTCGCTGGCCTCGTTACAGCACCCTGGGGCGGCCAGATAGCGCTCGCCTGCGGACGGGGCCATGGTTGCGTCGCATGAATTTACCCCAGGCTGAAGAGAAAAAAAAAGAAAAAGAGGAAAGGAAGCGGAGAGCGTTTCCGTGCCACGACGCCGGGGAGCCCCTCGCTGGGCTGGTGGCCCCGGCTCGGAGCCCAGCTTCCCTCCCCCCCGCCTGCCCCAAGAGCCGTGGGAAACCTTCGCCCCCGGCCCCTGGGGACGTCATGGGGGAGCAGGGGGGATTTCGTGTTTGTTTTAGCAAAAGCCGGAGTGCCCTGGAGCTGCGAAGGCAGTGCCCGGCGTGGGGTGCGTGCAGCCCCGCTGCCTGCGCCTCCACCTGCCCGCGGCCGGCTCCGGGCTCCCTGTGGCCCTGGTGTGCTGGGGCAGCCGCATCCCTGCGGCACTGCTCTCCCTCTCCGCTCCATCCCAGCCCCAGGACGGTGCCCGGCTGGGTGCCATGGGCTGCCCCGCCACCCAGCCCGCCCCTCCCAGCCCCAGGGTGCTCAAAGAGCCCCTGGGGTGGGAAGGGTCCCGGGAAGCCTTGAGGCCCAAGGCCGGGCAGAGCAGAGCTGGCTTTGGGCTCAGAGCAGCGTCTTCAGAGCAGTGTCCTGCCGTTTGCCTGCGAGGGCGGGGAGCCCCGCGCACCCCTCTGGCCTCTGTCCCCACGGGCGCGCCGTGGCAAAGCCCCTTCTGCCGCAGGCTGGGCCTGCTGCCGGGCGCGGTGTCCCCTGCGCCCCCGGGAGGGGCCGCCAGCCCAGGGGCGCCTGGCTCTGCCCCGGGCTGGGCTGGGACCCCCTTGGCTGCCACAGAGCGGGAGCGATGCTCCCTGCCAGGGCAGGGGCGATGGTGGCACCGGGGCCGTCCCTTCCTGGGGTCCTGATCCCGCAGAGGACCGAGGCCACCAGGTCCGAAACCAGCTCAGGCCTCGGCGGGGCAGGCGGGTTTACGGCTGTCGCAAGCTGGGACCACCTGAAGCAGCGAGCGGGACCTGCTGGCGCGCGACCCCGCGGTCCGGAGGCTGAATTTTGGCTGGTGGGTCCTGCGGCGTGAGCGTGGCTGATGCTCAGCCAGCGCGGAGAGGGGACGGCCTCAAGCCGCAGGGGTGGATGTGCCTCATCCTGCGAGGAAGGGCAGCACTGGGCTGGACTGGGCTTGAACTGGGGCTTCCAGTATCCAGAGATGCTTCAAAAATAAACGCAGAAAGCACCAGCATGAGCTGCTGGGGATGAGTTAGAGGAGGACCCAGACAAGCGGGGCTGCTGGTGCTGCTGTGCCGGCCCCTCCGGGCTGCCGGGCCAGCTCGCCCGTTCCGGCACAGGCTCCTCCGGAGCTGCTGCGCTCCCACACCAAGGGCAACAGTTGTCCCTCCGGCTTCCCTGCAGAAATGAAATTGCTGGGCACGGGGATGTCAGTGCTTGTTTTTTTTTTTTAATTAAAAACCAATTCCAGGTCTGTGAACCGCTGCAGGAAAGGGGGTCGCCAGGGATGCCTGCCGGCAGCTCCGGGGCAGAGGAGCCACGGCTGGGGAGCCCCTTGCAGGGGGTTGTTGCTCATCGGCGGGGCGGGATTGGTGCGTGGCGCCCCGCGGGGGCCCGC